AACCACGGGCGATCGTATAGAGGTGAAGGAGCCAAGAAGAAACCAGCATAGGACACTGGGAGAGAGACTGGTTTCCAGAAGGTAGATGGATGGAGTGCAGCCAAGGGGACAGAGCACTGAACTGTGTCAGGGGCCACCGGTGGGCTTAGGAGGAGGACTGAGAATAGATCCTTTCAGATGTGACATCAGGAGGTCACTGCTGACTTTGATGACAGTCAGGGACAAAGCTTGAATAGTTCAATAGAGAAAGCAATTGATATGGAAGAGAAAGGAAATAAATGCCCTTGAGTGGATGAAAAGGCTGATGTCCAATGAGTGAACTGGCCGTTGCCAGGAGTAGTGGGCACACATGATGGGCAGGTGGGTAACCTGCAGGGGTCAAAGTTCTCCTCTAGCTACTGTTCTGTGTCAGTGTGTCCTACAATCTGTCTGCCCTTCTCTGGGAAGCACCACGGATATGAAGTGAGGATAGGGACCAGGTGCCAATGGCTTAGTGACTGAAAGAGGACTAAGAGATTCCAATTCCTCTTCCTTGCACAACTGGGAGTCAGACAGCCCCAGGACAAAGCACCCACACACCCAGGTTTTGGAGGAAGATGGTTGCCCTCATTTTAAAGCTGCTATCTCTGCACTTTCAAGCAGGGTGGGTCACTCCTGGTCCCAGTCCCACCTTCTGCCTCTGTAATGTTTTGTCCTGACGACCCGGGGCAGAACAATCTAGAGCCAGGGAATAACATTTTTGGGTGGCACAAGATCACATTGCATTTTGACTAAGCCCAAAGATGTAGGGGGTGACCTCTGTGTCCACAGCGTACTTTGTAAAGCGCCAAGGGACAGAGAAGTGAAGTCATCAGTCCAAGGGAGCAAAAGTAATTCGCCTTGAAATCACCACTTTTTCTCTTTTTTCCCCTTTTGGGTCCTCGGGACTGAGCGCGGGGGAGGGCTCGACCCCTGAGCCCCCATCCTCAGCTCTTTTTGAGTGTTTTATTTAGCGACAGGGTCTTGCCGAGCTGCTGAGGCTAACTTGGACCACGTGACCCTCATGCTCGCTCACCCTGTGTAATCACAGCCCGGGGCTCAGCCGTGTTCCTTCAGTGTCGCAGAGAGCAGGGGACTCTGCATTTCCTGTCTCACGGGGGCTCAGACACTGCCCGCTCCAGTTTGGGGGGTCAAAGGACTTGACTTTAAAGCCTCAGAAAAAGGTGGGAAAAAAAACACCCAGGGCTCCCTGACCCAGCTGTGGCTCTGGGATCTCGGACAGGGATGGCATGGGACAGGCACCTGCTGGGTGTCAAATTCCGAAGGAAGCCCAAGGGCCCGGGGGGAGCACCGGGGCTG